GGTGCCTCGGCTTGCTCTTTCTTTACGTGAACAAACTCGGTTAGCAACCCTCGCCGTACGAGGCCCTCTATTTCATACCTCAGCTCTCTGCATTCTTCCGTCCGGTGCCCCGTTGCTCTGTGGAATTCACAATGCGTATGTGGGTTGCGCATGTGGGGTTGGGATTTCAACGGGGCAGGCCAATTGAGCTTGTAGCCTCTCTCGCGAAGGACGTGAAACACATTCCTCACGGAGTCATTGAGGGGGGTGTAGGCGTTGGGCGCGCCGCGCCTGTCGGGTGATCGACCGCGCTGCGCCTGTTCCGGTGGGGGAGGAGGAGGAACGCGCTTTGGGCCACTGTGCATCTGCAGCAGTTGGTCGCGGGTGACTGGAGCTGGAGCCTGGCGGCGCGCCTGTTCTTCTCGTGGCATTTTTGTTGGTTCGAAGCGCCTGACGGACCCTGATCCCAAGGTCTCTTCCAACGTGATTGCCTTTTCGATCTTCATTTCCAATTCTGTGGACAGCGTGACGGGCCTTTTTGCCAACGCCCGCTTAAGCTCCATATTGTTGGTGGCCTCCATGAGGTGATGGGCGGCAGTTTCGGGGGTGAGGTCGCGGACAGCCATCGCAATCCTGGACCATCTGGCGTAGAAGGCCCTCAGGCTTTCTCCATCCTTTTGCCTGATATCTATCAGGGCCTTGAGGTGAAGGGGGCGTCGTTTTTGGGACGCGAACTTCGTGGTGAACAGGAGTATGAACTCTTCGAACGAGCGGATGATCCCGTTTGGGAGGCGGTTGTACCAATCGAGGCATATGCCGGCGAACGTCGACGGGAAGGTTCTGCACAGGGCGGCGTTGGAGTTGGTTTGGAGTTGCATACGCAAGCAGAAGGTGCTTACATGGTCTTCCGGATCCGTTGTGCCGTTGTATGTCGGGAGGATGGGCGGCGCTCCGGTTATGTTCTCCGCCATTATTTGTGCGCTCAATGGCTGGTGAAGGATCCTTTTAGGCGGGATGGGTCGATATTGGGGAGATAGGTGTTGCTCTAAGAAGCTGAGGTCTGTCCGCCCCGGTAGATCGATCCCCGGCGCTTCACCCGCGGGAAGTTCTGTTGGCGTGTGTTGGGGGAGTTGAGCTGTCCCCGATGTTTCTCCTAAGGCCTGTTGAGGTGCGTCCACCAAGGCTTGTTGAGGCGCGTCCACCAAGGCTTGTTGGGGCGCGGGCGCTGTCGCGCCTGTCGTTAGCGCGCTTTCCCTGCTCATCATGAGCGTGATGACTTGGCTCATTTGTTTTTGCATGTCGGCTATGACGTTGTTTTGTTTCCTCAACAGCTCCCTCATTTCCTTGGCCGTCAGCTCGGGCTCCTCTTCTTCTATGAGCACGGCGTTGAGGTTGCTGGCTTCCGCGAACGCCCTCGGGTCGGTCATTGCCTTGATCGGCGTCGCTTGGTCAGGTTGGTCGTGGTTGTGTTCTGCCATTGGTGGATTTTCTTCAGCGTTTCTTCTTGGCCCCACGGTGGGCGCCAATTGTTTGAACCTAACTGAGTGTAGGAGTGAGGTTCGTGTGAGAGTTCGGGTCAAGAAGGAACGCTAGGATCGGGTTTAATTGAAGGAATAAGAACTGACGAGTTGAGTGAGAAATCAAGGTTCGAACTTTTAGAAAGAGAAGTAGTTGCTATGGAGAGAGAATGGTGCAAAAATGCGATCCCCTCACCCACCAGAGTAAATGCCATATTTATAGGCTACATGGTGGTGGGTGAGTGGGTGGACTTCGAGACGGTACAACGACGTGACTGCTGATGTGTCAGGGATTTAGGCCATCCCCTAACCTAGGACCTGTCAGAGGTTTGTCCATGATTTGTACTCAAAAGTCTTGATGTGACCTTCCCTCGGGAGACACAATGACGCCCTCTCCGGCTCTTGAGTCTGGTTGCCGCCTTGTCTTCCATTCGCGCGCATAGACTCACTCTTGCCGCGCGCGAGGTCTCGACGCTGTCGGACGTGTCGCGCCGTGTTTGTCGTGGCGTGCGGTTTGGCGTGCTTCTTTGGCGCGGGAGTGATCCGAGTCACATGCCCAACACCATCATTCACCATAAAATGGTGTGCCAATAAATTAAGTTGTTGTAAGGATGTTCAAAATAAAAATCTTATATTTGCTCATGTGTTCATGAGTTTTAGTTTTCACAAATAACGAGTTGAATATGATCATCGAATAAACGGATAAAATAATATAGACGGAATGTGTTAAAGTAATTAAAGCTTTTTATTTTAGACTTTTGAAGCCAAGTACGTACATAATCTATAGAAAGAATAGTTTTCATAGCCGAGTATTAATCACACACGAAACAGGGTTAGACCAATGCGGTTACCAAAAATTAAACACAAGTGGAAAAAAAAAAGCGAAGCATCCATCGAGATGTGGCATATATTCAATCAAAGTTCTCGAGTCTACAATCACACATTAGCTCTAGAAACATTTTTGGGTTGAACTGATGGAAGTTTCGCAACATCAATTCAGAAAACAAGAACCAATATGGCGACTCGGAACAAAATCCATTCCCAACAATCCAACAATTGATCTTCTTACTAGATGTTGCACAGATGAATCGAACCATCATTTTTTAGTTGAAAGATCTAAGTGAACATGAAATATCTTAGGTGTTTAGTATGATAACAGAAGACATGATTACTTGTATTCCGGATTGTATAAGTAATAATGTATTATCTACATAGACTTTCTTAGAGCAAATTAAACAATGCTTATTTTGCATAGAAGCCCGTGAACCATAATCATACTTAACTTTATACTCAAATGATACCATAAACCGATACATTACTTATACGAAGAACTCGAAGACCATCACTTACCACCTACAAGCTATGAAGTAAACAAGTTACCAATCTTAATAATAATATCAATCAATGATGCAATGTTCCATATGAATTTATCCCAAAAGCTAGAGAAAAAAGAGTGATTATAGTTGCTGATATCTTAATGACAAAAAAACAGTGTCATTACATAGGGATCTAATTGTCCAAAATAATACTTTAGGGCATACTGTTAACAACGACATATTACAAGGACGAAAAATGCTACCAACGGAAAAAAGAAAAAAAAGGAGAGGTAGGAGTTTGGCGGTGGCATAATTTCTCAAGCTATAAATGGTTAGTTTGGCGGCCAGTTTCGCACTTTCCAATCCTTCTCCGCGTCGTCGACTCTTTTTTCTCTCTCCCCAGGATCTAACGAAAGAAGGAGCCAAAGAAACAAACTTTCCCCGATCGATCTCCTCCTCTCTCTGTCTCTATCGAATTTGATCGCTGCGTGTCGGAAGAAAGAAACATTGTTGTTGGAGAACAACATCGAGGAAACGGGATGTCGGGGAAAGGCGCCAAAGGATTGATGGCTGGGAAAGCCGCGGCTCAATCCAAAGACAAAGACAAGAAGAAGCCTACCTCTCGTTCTTCTCGCGCCGGCCTTCAGGTTCTTTTCCCTTCCCCTCTCGCCGATATTTGGGATTCTTGATGCCCGTCTAGGATTTCGAATTGGATGGAGACCTGATTGAATCATTAGCTTTCTCGAGACCCCTGCTCACGGTTTAGCTGAGTAAGATGGTGTTCTTGTTTCTGTGTTACGATCAGTGTGTGTGATAATGCCAGCTAGTGGACAGGACATTTTCATCCCAACAATGGGGAGACCTCATAGAAGTTGTTTCAAAGAATTGAACTTTAGATGTTTTTCCTTCGTATTAACATAGTATCAAGTACATTTGTGTGGGCATAGAGCAGAAAGGTTGGCATGACTGGTTCTGTGCTGCTTGGTACTTGTGGTATTTGTCATCATTCGTCTCGTGTCTCGAGCTCATGGAATTCATCTGCTCTTTGATCCTTGGTCCAGTTGGAAGCTGGTTCGCCAATCCTGTAACTTGTGTGATATTAGGGTGATAGATGTTAGACACGTACATGCTGATGTTCTGAATCCAAATCCTCGAGCTTTCGTGTTGCTTGCTATTCCATGGTGTGTCCTGCTGTAGTCTTGAATCCTTGTGCAAGCTAGGGACTAGTACTGAGTTTTCGATTTGTAAATAACTCACTCACTCAAATCATTCAATGTACGTTAGTTCATTAGTACGAGTTTTGGATTTGTAGTGTTCTTCTGACCTCTGTGGATTTCATCGGTTGTAGTTCCCTGTGGGACGAATCCACCGCCTCCTGAAGTCAAGGGTCACAGCTCATGGGAGAGTTGGTGCAACAGCGGCAGTCTACTCTGCAGCAATCTTGGAGTACCTGACTGCAGAAGTGCTGGAGCTGGCTGGTAATGCGAGCAAGGATCTGAAAGTTAAACGTATAACGCCAAGGCATTTGCAGCTAGCAATCCGGGGAGACGAAGAACTTGATACCCTCATTAAAGGAACCATAGCTGGAGGTGGTGTCATCCCTCACATTCACAAGTCTCTAATCAACAAGTCTGCCAAGGAATGAATTGAAACCTGAAAAGAAAAGGCCATTCATTTATAGGATTAGTTTATTCGAGCCCATCTGTATTGTTAAGATTCTTCCATTGGGGGGTTCCGGGTTTGGTTTGAGTGTACATTCTGCTTAAAAACTCGGATTGATGATAGTTAATTGATACAAACCTTCCTTTGATCTGATTATTTAGAATGTCGACTTGCTGCTTGTCCCAGTTCTGTATGATTGGATGTCATTCTTAAAATCACTGAAATACTTCCACTGCTGTTAAACTTATCATCCAAACCGTAAAAGGGCTTCACATTGCATCATTCGACGGAAGATGCCTAAATTTCATCAATGAAACCATCCCTTATTCATTAGCTAACCATATGACAGTCTAGCTGGCTTACAACCTACATTAGATTGGAGAAAGAAACAGGTTACAACAGGAGGAAGAGCACAACAAAGCTTTTCAGCCACGTTAACGGAAAAACTGATTTCTCTATCATCACTGGAACACCCTACAAAAGGGATGAGATAAACTATAGCTTATGTTAAACTTCGATCTCTCTCTCAGTTGAGTGTCGCAACTTTGGGTACATCGACCGGGAACTGATCGATCTCATCCATCCACGGATTCTTCTCCTTTGTCGGGTTTATCGAGCGCAGAGCCTTCCACACCGCGCTATTACACTTGAACCCAGACCCGAAAGCAATTTGCCACATCCTATCTCCTCTCTTCACTCTCCCTTTCCCTTCAGTATAAGCCAACTCATACCACAGCGAACTGCTCGACGTGTTTCCAAACCGGTATAGAGTCATCCTCGACGGCTCCATATGCCAATCCGAGAGGTTCAAGTTCTTCTCTAGCTCATCCAACACTGCTCTCCCACCTGCATGAATGCAGAAATGCTCGAACGCCAGCTTGAAATCCGGTATGTAAGGCTTCACCTTGACCTTAAGCAGCTTCTTTGCCACCAATGTGGCAAAGAAGAGCAGTTGCTCAGACATTGGCAGCACGAGCGGGCCTAAAGTAGTGATGTTGGTCTTCAATGCATCCCCTGCAACTCCCATCAACTCCTTCGACAACGAAACCCCGATTTTTCCTTCCGAATCTTCCCTTTGAGTAACACAAGAGAAGCACTTGTCATCCGAGCCCTTGTTGGTCCTCACAGTATGAACCAAACGATACTTGGCACGCCACCTCTCCGACCTCTTATTCGACAGCAGAATTGCAGCACCTCCCATCCGAAACAAGCAATTCGACAGAAGCATCGACTTATCATTCCCAAAATACCAATTCAATGTAATGTTCTCCATACTAATCACCAAAGCATACGAATTCGGATGCACCTGAAGCAGGTCCTTAGCTAGATCAATCGATATCAAGCCAGCACTACACCCCATCCCACCAAGATTGTAACTTCTCACATTGCCACGAAGCTTGTAGTGATTAATCACCATGGCAGACAATGATGGTGTAGGGTTAAACAAGCTGCAATTCACTATCAAGATGCCAACATCCTTAGGCTTCACCTTAGTCTTGGCGAACAAGTCATCGATTGCACCGAACATCACAGCTTCCGCTTCCTTCCTAGCCTCGGCCATACAAGGATTAGGAGGGACATTGAGAACAGCTGGTGGGAGGTAAGTTGACTCGCCAAGACCGGACCTTTCGAGGATCTTGCGCTGGAAATCGAGGCTTTGCTCGGTGAAAGTGCCTGTTAAGCCCGATCTGTCCATGAAAATCTGTCTGGTGCATTTCCTGGCGTCGTCAGGCTTGTAACAGGAGAAGTCCACGAGGTAAATTGCACGAGGGCGAGTTAGGAAGTAGAGGGTAAGAAAGAAGACTATCAGGGTTGTGCACAGAATTACTGAAATTAGGTTGGATTGGAGATGGTGATTCCAGAGGTCATGGAGATCTTGAGCTGAGAATGTGGATAGCTGGGCAAAGATTAGAAGGGCTAGTGGGGATAAAAAGAGGTACATCCCATGGGTGATTAGGTGATGGTAACCTAGTTTGACGTATTTGAGCTTCACCGTTTGTTTGAAATCTGGGAGCTTGGAGCGGGATTGGGATGGAGGGATCAACAGGGGATTAGGGTTTGGCTTCGACATTGTTTCTTTTTCTTTTCTGGGTATGTGACTGTGTGATTTGCTTGCTTACTACCACGTAACAAACTGTAATTCCAGCATGCTTGGGATTGGGGGGGAAAAGGTGGAGGGGTTTTCTTGGGAACAAAACAGAGCAACAACCCAGAAAAAGCTCGAAACTTTAGGCAATAGCACACCAATCAGAAGAATGCGGGAAAACGGAAAGGCTTTAACCTTGCTTCCCCTTTATTCCTGCACAAAATGAGGAACAGAATGTTGAGAAATGAAAGCTTAAACAATGGATTTTATCTTAATCACAAAGCCAGATCTGTGAAACATGCTGAACTTTTATCCATTGGAACAGAGGACAATGCAGAGGAACCCAGTAAATAATGAACGAGAGAGAGAGAGAGAGAGGACTGACCTCGTGGAAGAAGATTGAAACAGAGGTAGAGACGAAGGAGGAGCTGGAAATTTGTGCTATTTCATTGCCAGAAGAGGGAGAGAGGAGGGAGTAATGGTAGTGGTGTGCTCCAAGATGGGGATTTTAAACAAAGGTGGAAGGAGAAGACAGAGTCGTTTGTTGTATTGCGTTTCCTTGATAGTAGGGACTAGGGAGTGAGGCGAAAAAACACCGAACAGAACAACTGGGGAATCTGGTGAGGGAAGTGGGGTAAAAATTATTCAAATCAAAAGTACAATAAATTTGTTAAAAGTCCATCACAATTTATTGTGCAAAGTACTGATTGTCGGATGAACACTTGAAGTCTTGTTGTTGTTGTTCTTGTTCTGGACGAACGGGAGGAGGTCGTTTGCACGGCTCGTCGTTTAAATATAAGGTTACAGGTTTGATTCATGTTTATGAGAATGAAAATTATTCTGTGATAAGTTGTTCATTGCTTTGTAGTACGACTATCTTCAATGAGCGATACATTGTTATTGTTGATGAGTAGACATACACACCGCAATGATATTATCAAAGTTTATCAATGTCATCATAAGCTTCTTCTTTTCATTGGCACTATCATACCATAATTTTTCTTCTTCTAGAAAATAAAAGGCAGATAACCGTGTTTATGTAATATTGCGAATATTACAACTTGATGAACTGCTACGTAAACAAATGGAGGAATTCAGGTACAAACAAGAATTGCATGAATCGCGTTAAAAGTGTATTTTTCTTTTGTTCTTTCTCTTCCTTGACTTGACCTGACCAGCATGCATGTGAATGAATAGATCACATCACATGCAGCAGACCAGCAGAAAATGCAGGCTGCATGACTCTTTTTGTCATATAATTTCCCTACTGTCGGCTGGAAAACGGATTCAGGCCTTAAGAAATTCTAATCGCAAAAGTCAATTCAATCCATTCGGTTAGCGTCCTTATGAGATGGTGTAAGAAATAAGAACGTCGAGACAACTTTCTAGATATGAATCGCAAGACTGACAATCCAACAGTGTAAGGTTATCCTCCTTGTGCTAACCAACCTCATAGAAGCTCAGCCAGATTCCTCAACAATGGCGGTTCCTACTAGCTACTACTATTCCTTCATGGGTTGATAGTCTCTTCTAATAGTAACTATGGCTAAAATAGTCTTCATCTCCACAGTAATTTGGTTCTTCATTAGTTAGGTTAGGTTACAATCTCTTTCATTTAGCAGTGTGTGTGGAGTGTGGTCACCACCCCTGTGATGTGAAAACTGAACCATCGCATACTTTTTTTGGAATCAAATACCAGAATAACGCATAAGGAGTATTCAGGTCCCCGCCTACAAAGGAACAGACAAAGCTGGACCAGCCATAGGGGTATAATTTCGTAGAGAACCATCAACCACATTTTTAGCAGAGATGTTGTGAGTAAAGAGATGAATTTCTTCAACCCTTTCTCAGTTCCAGCATTAAAAAGTTGTTAAATTTCACACTGCGAATTAGGGGATCCGACACAAGGAGCTATGCATGCCTGTATGGCTTCGATCACCGCCGCTTAAACTAGGTGTACACATCACACACACAACAGGACTCGTTGCTACTACAGAAAATGAACTAGCCATGAACCTAGTATGACACAGAGAATGCGCAAGGCTTCTGCACTCTTACCTCAGATTAGGGATGGAGAATAAAGTAAATCAGTTCAAAGAGTAAGAACTCAGAAACATTCCTAAACCTCAAGGCCGAAGACGTTATGTTTGGCCGCCTCCATTCCCAGATGCTTCTTGTGCATGTGATGGTCGGGCGCCTTCTTCTAGGTTGCCAGTCGGAGTGAAGGCCAGTTCAGAAACCAACGCGATATGGTCGCTCCCCCATTTCTGGATAATACGATGCAAGCAAAAGACATGATTGAAGTAAAGTTCACTTCGAAATCAACATATCTGATGCTTCAAACGACTAATTAATGTGCTCATAAGGTTGAGAATCTGTGATCTCAACATGTAGCAGTCAGGTGCACAATCATTGAGCAATTCATGCCTAACAGTGTTCCATTACTTTCAAACAGATAGCCACCCTTGGTTTTCCATTTTATTAAGTTTTTTCCTAGAACAGATATTAATTGAACAATGTCACATACCTTTGTCGGGAACCCAGTTGTCCACTGCATCGCACGTTTTGGTATCGGAGCAAGTACACCCACAGTCTGCAGACCTTTTGAAAACCTGTAGTTCCGAAAGAAGGTTGCTTTATCTTATTCTTGAAAAATAAAGCAAAATAAAAAAGACTATGTTACATGTCCTGTTTATATTTTTATGTCAACTCATCAAGCAAGGCCTAGGGTCATGATTGGGAACTCTACATGCAGCAGTCTGTATGAAGACTTTACCATGGGTAATGCACGAAAGACCAATCTACAAGCTGTCACTGCATTAGGGAATCCATAAGGAAGAGCAAGTTGTCGAAGAAATCATTACCATATGTAGTCAACTGTGCCCAAGAAATGCCTGTTGTAGCTAGTCGCCTCAGGTTCTCCATTAGAGGGATCTCTTGTTCCTGAATGGTTCTGGTCAAAACAAATATACATGGAAACTCTGTTAATCACGCACAAAAACTTCAAATGGTCTACATGAAGTTAAAATCAGAAAGTTAAGTTTACCTCAACTTGGGTATAAGCGCTTCTAAGAGTTAAAGGATGCTGTAAGCAGGTACAGTCTGCGTCACCTGTAGCAGTAGCTATTTCCATTGGTGTCCAGACCGATGGATCATAGATAGAAACCTCATCAACAACTTCCACTAAGTTCTGATTCTCAGAAGAATCATTGGCCAACTCATTGGTTGGCGAATGCACCTTAGACTCATCATTTGGACCCGTTCCAAATTCTCCACTGGATTGATCTAAATCTGAGCTAGCAATTTCAGAGAAGGTATCATTAGTGTCATGCAGTGAAGCTAGAAAACTGCTTTCATCTTCACCAGTTATGGAGAGTTCAGACTGGAACTTGCTGAACACTTGTGTAAATTCGGATTCTAGACTATCTTCTACTTGGTTGACGCTATTAGATCCACTTGCACTGTCGGAAATTGGCTGTAAAGAATGAAATGATCTGCTCCCAGAGCAAGATACTTCATGGGATAATGAGAGATCCTTGAAGTTTCTTCGGGTATCTTCTATAGAATTACTTGACTCGTGACTTTGACCCACAGTCATACTAGATCTAGAATCTGATTCTTCCCTTCTCTGTACAACTTCAACTGAAGTATTGGGGGAGTGAGTCCTGAAAAAGATTTGCAACCTCTATTTTGAAGAGCGAGTGTGAAGTAAATTAAGGATAGAACTTTGTAAAATGTTTTGACCTACATCGACTCACCCAGGACTAGAACTATGATTGGGTTTACCACCAGAATAGACTGTCCTTGTAGGAGCTCGAATCTCTGCAGAAGCCTGTCCTGATACCTTATCTCTATCCACTTCAGACAAATCTAACTGCAAATGTCAGCAAATCGAACACCACAGTTACAGTCTCAATCATCAACAAAATGACATTAGATACAGAGAGGAAAAGAAAGTACCTTCTGTTGGGAGATGAAGTTGTACAATGGACTCTGATTCAAGAAACACACATCAAAATTGCACGAAATGTGCTGAAGTAAAATGACATTTAAGACCCTTTAAGGGCATATCACCTTTGGAGTACAATTGAAGTCGCCACAAAGAACAACTGGAGCATCATTCCACAATTTTGACACAGCATGAGCCTTTTCAAGAAGCTTTCTCACCTGATGAAAAGGTGTGTTAATTAAAGAAGAAAGAACCAGAACTATTTATTCAATGGAGAAGCACAATGTTCTATAAGGGCACAGAGGTAGCGAAGCAGTTGCATGACTCAAAGCTACACAAAAGACAGGCTCAACATGATGTAATGTAAAGAAGAACATAGTTCGATAAATCAACTGGTAATAGAAAACAAGCAAAGGACTTAAAATACACTAGTTTCCAAGAGTGTTAGTACCTGACCGATCTTTATTTCACCCCTTCTAGGATTGTACAGCACATGAATGTTGCATACAACAACTTTATTAGAACCTGCTGAGCTGTAAACATAGTCCATTAGCTTAGATCATAGGTAAGGGGAGAAATGAAAGAAACAGGATAGATAGTAAATGTTGGAATTACAAATCAAAGTTAAAGTGGACAAACGTTGGCTGTGCTACTAGCTGGCATCTGTGACTCCGCAGAGAGCACAAATTTCAGTACAACTTGCTAGCGTGAATCATTGCTGATTCCATTATTACCTCGAGAATGCGTGTGGGTTCCTCACATACAACTGGTTACTTCCTGCTTTCGTGTGTTATTACCTAGCTGGATTGTAAGAGTTCAACATATTTCATCTGTCCCATCACTGAGAGAACTGTTCAAACATCTAGCTTCGCACCTATCTTTTTCACTTCAACTTCTGTGTCATCTTCTTACTATTTTCATTTTTTGGCACATATTATTCAGTATTTATCTCATTAACAATCTAGGACACATCTGCATCAAGCTAATTGTGAATGAATGAACACAACGACCAAGACATACTATCGGCCGGCTTGTGGAAGATGTATAATAAATTGTACAACTGTATAAACCAGAATACTACAGAGTTCTTGAACTGGTACCTTGCAGAGAGAGTTGATGCATTAGAATTCAAACTTTGACTTATTGCCTGTTTTCACAAAAAATGAAAGTAAAAGAAGTTCACGAGCACACAAATGCATAAGTAAAAACAACCAAGCACACATCATAAGTATAGAAGTATGAGGAAAGCTATTGAAATATGTTCAATTTCAGAAGATACAAAAGTTTCCAATAGAACGGCATCTACCTCCAGCACACATATCTGAGCAACATTATCCCGCAGTCCAAACTTATTGAAAACAATAGATTCCTCGTGGACCAAGTTGAATCTAAGGAAGGTAACAAATCCACGTGTAAGCCTGAGGGTGAAATCTGAAAATAAGATCACCACCAATGGTGTTGATAAACCTAGTATCTATCTTGAACAGACAGTAATTAGAAAAAGAGCTCAATAGTGCATGGCTAAGCAGAAAAACTATTTGATTAGTACGAGAAAAATCAAAATGATTACAATATGACATAAACTACCAAAAGTTGTATGCATGATTTAACCACATTGGCCCTAATAATGGCGAAGATTATGGAATTCAAGACCTCTGGAGACTGAAGATGGAAAATTACTTTGATTCTCTCCAAAAGATGGCACAACCATCAGTAGCACTGCCTGTCCGCATCTAAAAATAACAACATGAATGTTAATTCTATGAGTTGGCCCTTAATAGAAAAATCTCAATAGCGCCTTCTTCGGAGGAATAATAAAGTGCCCGGTCAAGATCATCATTTCGGCTAATTTGATAGCATGCATATTCATCCACACAGTTGAAAACATTCGCCTTCTGCATGTGAAATGCATCTCCTTTGTTTTATGGACAAGTATCAGAGTGTAAATGCATAGGCCTCAAGAGGCAATAAATCATTTTCATCTACTGAATCCCATTCTAACACTATGATAACGGGGGAGAGTTCTATAATTATGAAGCTCTGATCCCTTCAACACAGTAACAATAGTAGCAAAACGAACCTGATAGATTCCATTGTACCCTGATCCCTTCAACTCATCTTCCAACTCCTGAAATCTGTCAACTTCCTGTAGTGTAGAGTGCAGAAAAGGCACCAGAGTTCAAAACCCAAGAACATCGAGAAAAGCTTCAGCCTTGTCTATGAATTCATAAGAGAAGAGTAGAGCAAACAACCTGAAAGCACATTATATCTGCTTTCCACAAGCCAAGCTCAAAAACTATACTTCTCTTTCTCCATTGCCAAGCCAGCATATGCTGAGGTATGTGGAAGTAAAGTTTGCTCTTGTGGTTGACGGCTAGATAGTCGGCCAGTATATTATAAGAAAGAACAATGAATCTCTCTGCAGACGGAAAAACCAAAAGAAAGAATCAAGCTTAAAACCAGACTTTCATCCAGAAGAAATCACACTTCAGTACTAAGAGAAGGGACTATCTCTACCAAAGTACCTGCATTTGGAGGAGGAAAAACATTTGCATACTCCCAATTCCGGAAAAGCAATTCCTTCGGCGGCCTCGGCGGGAGTTGCTGCTGCTGCTGATGGGGGCGGAAACCTTGATTCCGATCAAACGGCGGAGCCTGCCGGAACTGTTGGTGGTTCTGATTTTGAACGAAGGGTGGAGGTGACCGGAATTGATGCTGATTTGAGTAGTAACGCGGAGACGGCTGCCGGAACTGTTGGCTTTGGCTCTGCAAGTATGCCGGCGGTGGCCATTGATTCGAAGAACCGTGCCATCCCCCTCTGCCAAGCCCTGAGTAATTAGGGTCTGGTGAGTCTCCGGCAAAGAACTGTGGGCCTCTCCCGCCACGGTATTGGCGGTCGGAGAAGCCTCTTCCGGCCGCCCAAGGCTTTCTACCGCCACGGTGCTGCTCGCAAATTTCCAACAGTAAAAGAGAAACTCACTATGCAAAAGCCAGAAATTGAAAATTCAGTACATTGAAGTAATTAGAAAGAGAAAGAGTGAGAGAGATGGAGTACTGGAATCGGAGAAGACATGGCGGTGGTTTCAGTAGCTACGGCGGCGAGTGATTTCAAAGGCGGAGCCGATCGCTTCATTGAGACATGGCGGAAACATTTGGGGCTTGACAGTTTTGAGTACAATGCAAAAGGGATTAAATAGCTAAATGGTCACTAAACTAGGTAACAATTAGCAAAATAGTCACCGGACTTAAAAATATTTACCATCCGACGGCGGTGATCAAATCAACGAGAAAGCCGTCAAAACTCAAACCGTGTCCTCTCAAAACCCCCATTCTCGGCCACTTCTCTGAGACAGACTCGAAGGATTCGATTTCTACTCTTCTCGGGAAGTAGGAGCGAAGAGCCTCGCCTGAAAAGGAACAATCTTTCAAGTGGGAAAGCCGATGATATTGATGATGATGTCGTCGCTGTCTTCTCCATCTTCGTGGTCGGTACCTCCGTTATTCAAATCCAAGCCCTTCACCGGCGATTACAGACCTATAACGCCGGCGGGAGTTCCTTTCTGCCGAGGCGTCAGGGCTTCTTCCGATGTCCCCGATTTCCTCTCCGCCGATTGGTATGGGAAAAACCCTGAAAGCACTCATCCATCTTTTCTGACTATTTTTCTGGGTTCGGGTATTGATTGTTAGAATCAGGAAGAACCACAAGAAAGTGATGACCTTTTTTTATTGTTGTTTGTTTCAGGCTTGAATCACGACGGAAGAAACCAGATGGGCCAAAACTAAATGTAATAATTTTCTAAATCGTTGAGAAATCAGCAGAATTAATTAGGAGGGGAAACTTTTGATCTTACTGTGAAATAGCTGTTTTGTATGTTGTAGTTTAGTGCTGAAGAAGCTGTTGAGTACCAGCTTGATGCATTGAAGCACAATGACCAACCTCACCATGATTATGGAATTGAAGTTATGTACAGGGTAAACATCCAGAGCCCCACAATTACACATCATTTGGAGGCCACTTTTCTCTCCTAAGTTGCACTTAATGTTGTTACTTGTTTGCTGTTGTTCTGATGGCCATCTGGTGATAGTTTGCTGGATTCGATCCTTTTGAGAGATCGGCCTATTTCGGACCCTTCTTCGATCTCGGGCAGGTTAGTGTGTGTTCTGAGAGAGACCTCTTTTACAGCTTTGTTTGGTTGCCTCTTCTAAGCTAATGCCATGATCATGATGGTTTCAGTTTGAAAGGTTTCGACGGATTTTCCACCACTCGACGTACAGAGTATTGCTTGGTCATAAGGAGAGGAAGGTATTGAGCTGCCTGTTAGTGGAAGAGGTATGGTTCATGCATTTGCCCTATTCCTAAAGGAAATCTGGTTGACAAGTTGCTACCGAGTTCGTATGTTTGCTATCTGATTCTGCAAACTTTAAACAGAATCGGTTTAAGCAACGGGTATGGGTGAGAGGCAATCGTCCAGAAGAGGAAGAGATATTCCAGTTCACCATGGTTCAGGTTTATTCCCCGCCATTTATTTCCCCTTGTAGAATGGACCACCTTGAAGAAGTTTGATTCATTTTCCATTGTTGATAAGAGTGAACATAGTTGAGTGAAAGGGGATCTTGTGATTTTGCAGAGAGTTGGTGGTTCTTGGGATGGGTATTGGCTGACAGAGTCTCTCCTTAATGATGGAGATGCCTTTTCTGGTGGATTGGCATATTGAACCAGAAGAAACAAAGGGGCCCTTGATCATGTTTGAAACAGTGAAACTACTACAAGCACCAATCGAATTCGTGTACATGTTATGGCAATGCCGCATAGTTATATTCATCGTTACAAAAATACATCAGTGTAAATTGTGGCTGTACATATCCGAGTTCTGTAATATATTATATAAGATCAGTGAATTTCTTTAGTACATGTTCGTGCCCCGTAACTAGGCGCCCCGAACCTCCGCGTACGACCGACTTGGCACGCCCAAACCTACACGCAACACGGCCAAACAGAGTCCTATGAAGGACTCGTTAGCACTCCAACGCTCAAGTCAGATCCCCTTTCTAGAGAGAGAAGTGAATAGTAATTTTAGAGAGAAGTCCCAACCTGAGTAAATGAGGTTCACCAACTCTCCTTTTATACCTCGGGTCTGGCCGACCGATATCCCCGTCTCCCGCCTGTCGTCTGACCCGCATTAGATGTGCCGTACGACCAGGTCCCATGCGCCTCGACCACCTGACACCGTACCCAGCCCTTCGAGGCGCATGACGTCAGGTGGTCCCTCCTCCGTACCCTCCTTCCCGTTGCAACTCCTTGTCGCATGCGCCTGGTGTCAGAGCCTGGGCCCCACATGGCCTGGTGCTCCTTTTTGATGAATGGGCCAACTCCCCCATGCCCCCTTGGGCCTATTGGGTCATGCTCCACTACTTAGCCTAGCCTGCCTAACTTCTCACTCTTGGGCCCTGCCAGCTTGACCCCTTTTGGGCCGCGGTCGTGCCCCCAACAATTGCCCCCCCAGCCAGGTGCCTACGGCCCTTTTGTAGGCGCCTGACTGGGCCTCTTGAGCGCCCTCTTCCTGCCCTGTGCGCCTTGCCCCCCGTTTGGCCCATTCCTCGCCTGTCGCTCCCGTGCGTCCCGTTTTTTCCTTGCCCAGTCGTAATCCTTTCGGCTTCTCTTTCCCTTACCACCATTATGAGGTTCTCGGGACTCCCCCACCTATCGAGACCCTTGGACTTCCCCCTCACCCGTTTATGCGACCCTTGGTATTCTCCCGCTCCGCGGGACTCTTTGGTTTCCCCTATTACTCGCTTGACTCTTGGGTTTCCCCTATTACTCCCCCCTAGTCCGTTTGGAAATTTGAATTTCGAATTTCAAACTTCGAAACGGACTAGCACTCTCTCTTGCCGCTCCCTTCTCACTATAAATACTTCCTCCCCCCCTTCCTGTCACTCTCACTTGCTTCCCTTTGCTCTGACCTCTCTCCTCCTTGCTCTGACCTCTCTCTTCTTTCTCTCACTAAGCCCTCGTCGTTTTCCCCCTGCGCTCCCTCCATGTCGACTTCTCAGCAACCCGGGAAGGCGCGCACGGCGCCCGCGGCTGGTGCTCCACGATCTTCAGGCGCTGCGCCTCAAGGTACAAATCCTTTCTCCTCGAATCTTTTTTTTTTTTTTTTTTTTTAAAAAACGCCCTCGACGTTTCCTTTGTGCCTCACTTCCTTCGTCATCCTCCGTTTCTGATGCGCCTTGCGCCTCTTATGCCCCTCTTCGAATTCCTTTCTGATCTATCTGTGCCCCTTGCCCCAGGCCCTGACGCATCGCAAAGCTATGCGTTTTGCTCGTGGGAATCGACTTGGGCCTCGGGGCAAGCGCCTGGCAACGTCGCTGGTATGCCCGTGGAGTCCGCGGGTCCGAAGCACCCCTCCAAAACCCTGCTCGTGCGCCTGGAAAAGTTGCTGGTGGCCGCGCAGATGCCATGCGCCCCGACGGGCCCGGATAGGCGTCTGCGGCGACAGCGGCTGGACGGGAATTTACCAGGAATTCATAAGGTTTGGCATGCGCTTTCCTTTGGACCCCGTTCTTGAAGGGGTCCTCGATGCGTGCCAATGCCCGCTGGCGCGCCTCTCACCTGCTGTTGTGTTATACTCAGTCCTCTTCCGCCATAAGTGTCGGCTGCTCGGCATCGTACCCACCTTTAAACTCTTCAATCACTTTTTCTACATGTCGCGGAGTACCAACTGTCTCATCCTTAATAAGCGCAAAAAGTTAGGATATAGCTTCATCCATAACTGCCAAAAAATGGGGCGCACGTGGTTTGATTCATATTTTTACGTGCGCCCCCGAGAGGTCCCCTTCTATGCCAGCGGGCGCCCCGCGCCGATGGAGTGGTCGTTAGGAACTCCCCATTATTTCAATAAGCCCGCTCCTCTAAACAGGTCGGAATTAGACTGCGCTAAGCGCCTTTCCGAGGAGCCTTTCGACCTGACCGACGATGATGCCTATGTGCAGCTATTGGCCGATTTTTACCAAGACGGTACTCTGGCTTGTGCGCCTTGCTTCCTCACTTCGGTATGCGCCCTTGTTCTGTTCGCTGACTCTTATCTTCTCTTACACTCTTGCAGGTACCGATTTCACGTCAGTGACGTCCATCATCCGCTCTCGGCTGGGGATTGGGCAGGATCCCGGGAGCCCCCCCCCCCAGCGACTGGCGTCTCCGGACCCTCTGCTTCCGCGCCTCCGAGGCGCACGATCCGAATCAAGGGGAAGGCTAAGGCGGTCCCTTCCGCGTCCGCTTCGGGCGCTTCGGGTGGGGCTTCTCCCCATCAGAGCTCTGGCCAGGCCGCAGGCAGTCCGTCCGCCTCAGCTGATGCTACCGCGCGGGAGCGCACACGCTCCCCCACAACCCCTGCCTCTGAATCCGTTCCTCAGGCAACGGGGGAGGGGGGTGCGCCCTCCTCCCCATCGCCCACCATCCGGAAGAGGTCCGGGGGCGTCCAAGACAACCCTGCCAAGAGGGCGAAGGCGCCCCCGGCTGGTGCCACCGGGTTGCCACCTAGCTTCGTGATGCCCACGATCGGGCCGCATACCGGCCAGGAGATCCCCCCCTATCTCCAACCTCCGAGGCGCCCTTTGACCAAGGTTGCGGTTGACTTACCCGTGAGAGCGGCCAAGGAGCTTGGCGCCGCCGCCGCGTGGGCGCGCTCGCAGTACGATGTGGTGGAGCATCCGGCGGGCCTGATCTCCAACAAGCCCTGGCGTATGATGACCAACCTCACCGCGCAAGTAAGTATACTGGTCCTACCCCAAGTGCTTTTGCCTCTGTCTCCTCACTTGGTTGGTCTGTACGTTTCCCCCCCCCCCCCTTTTATTTCTAACTTTTCCCATACGCCTCAGATGATGCTCCTTTGCGAGGCCACCGCTCGCGAGGTAGACAATATCCGGCATGAAGGCGCACTGGCCTCCAAGGATGCTGCGCGCCTCCAGTCCGACCTAGAGGCTGCTGACAAGCAGCGGGCGGAGCTGACTTCCGCGTGCGACGAGGCGCGCAAGAGGGCTTCTGACGCTGCTGCGCAGCTCGAGGAGAAGTTGGAGGCGGAGCGCACGAAGGTGCGCCTTGAGGAGCAGGCGCGGCATGCGAGGGAAGAAGAGGCGCTCAGAGAGAGGGAGAGCGCCTTAATCAGGGAGCGTGACGCCCTCCTTGTGGAGAGGAACGCCCTCCGCGAGTCAGTGCGTGACCTGGAGGATGCCGGCAAGAAGGCCAGGAAGTCCAGCAGGCGCTATCACCGGGATCTGAAGAAGGCCCGAGTTGTGGCGGAGGGCCTGAAGCGTAACCTGGATGACTACAAGAACACCACCGCCGGGAAGAATCTTCAAGCGGACACCATCATTAGTACGGTGGAGATTGCTCAGCAGAAGCTGAACGCCGATCATCCCGACTGGGTCTTCGATGCCATGGACTTGATGACTCACATCATTGGCGCGATGGAGCAGGCAACTCCGGAGGGCGGAAAGGAGCAGGCGCAGGGCGCAGAGAGTGAGGCGCAGGGGGCAGATGAGCAGGGCGCGGGAGACCAAGGCGCGGACGGAGAAGGCGCAAGTGGCCAGGACGCCGACGAGCGGGTGGATCTCAGCGGCAGTGATGCCTCGGACGGCGGTGACGATGGTGAGGCAGACAGTGAAGAGGAGGTCGACGTGGAGGCTTGATGCGAGGATGTTCTTGTGATGTGAATTGTTATGAGATGTGTTATCTTTCCTGCTGATGTTAAGACTTTTGATGCTAAGACATTTTCCTTCCATTGTCCGTCCCTTCCCGCTTTTGGTGTTAAGACATTTTCTTTCTTCATTCCCCTTCCCGCCCAACTTGCGGCTTATAGGGTTTGAACAATATTGCCTATGGCGCTTCGTTCACGTGGCGCGAGGTCGTGGGCGCTTTGCTTTTGGGCGTTTCCCGGGGCGAGGGATATCAATATGGGACAAGAACTTTTACACAAGTTAAACTTTAAGAGGGCGCTATCCGACCAGGGCGCTTTACGGCTCAATACTCACGTACGCAATCTGATTACGAAGGGCGCAGGTGGTTGGGCGCTTTACTTTTGGGCGCTGTGCATTTGGGCGCTTTACGGAGTGATAAGAATTGCCACACAAGTTCAACTTTTAGGAGGGCGCTAATTGACCAGGGCGCTTTACAAAATCCGCATTTACGCAAGCAACTGACTACATTGCATATAGATTACTCAAACGGGGCGCGAAAAACAGGGCGCTTTACAGTAATATGAAAATAAAACTTTAGATCACTCAAACCTTACTCGGTGGGGCGCATGGTATCCCATGTTTGCAGTAAGTATACCCCCTTCAGCCTGATGAGCGATCCCCATCAGCTGGCCAAAATCCAGGCGTTACGCCCTCTTACCCCCCCGATTACTCTGAAACTTCGCCTCCCCCAGTACCCTTGTACGCCCTTAAGTTCATGGCATTCCATGTTCGTTTCACGGCCTTCCCACCCATGCGCTCAAGCTTGAAGGTAGCAGGTCCCACCACCTCCCTAACACGGTATGGCCCCTTCCACTTAGGTGCTAACTTGCCTTCGCTCGCTTTCGGGCGGAAATCGCGCCTCAACACCAGGCTTCCCAAGGTGATTCGGTGGGGGCACATCTTGCGATCATAGTACCTGGCCACCTGCCGCTTCATTGGCTCGAGGCGCACGGCGGCAACGTCCCTTCTTCCCTCCAGCATGTCGAGGTCGTGGATACGCTCTTCATCGTTAGCCCCAGGTTCGTACTTCTTCACCCTATACGTGGGTAGACACATTTCCACCGGTATGACCGCCTCACTACCGTAGGTCAGGGCGAAAGGGGTTTCCCCTGTCGCTACCTTGTATGTTGTACGGTGCGCCCAGAGCACGCCGGGGAGCTCCTCCACCCATCT